GCATGGCTGGCTGGGGAATTCTGGGAATTGAAGTCCACAGACCTTAAAGCGGCCAAGGTTGAGAAACACTGTGCTAATCTAACCAGTCTTCGACGGCCTATGTCTAAGTTTCCAAAGCCAACTAAAAAGCACCGAACCCAGGCAGGGAGTCCACCAGTAACATGGCCATGAGCGATAAAGAACTGTCAATATTAAAACCAGCACTTCAGATCTGAGCTTGTGCTATTTGAGCCCAAGATGGTGCTCTTAAATGGCAATTTTGTAAGCAAGGTTCCTGAAAGCATAAGCTCACCTCTATAGCCACACACCTGAGCCATGCTGGAAATGTGCTGCTTGTACTGCTCCTAGCACTCTGGCTCTTGATACCCAAGTATTGCTTGCGGACATCTGCATTAAGACCTACGGTCAATCCTTGGATATTAGGAACGAGTCCAGAGAGCCACATCAACAGATGGGGAAGTAGTGTGGTTTTGTGGCCTCTTAGATAGGTGAAGGAGGACATTACACTACACACATGCAGGGAATTGACTACATACACACACACACACACACACACATATTTACACACACACGCTCACATCTCCTCTGATGATTCTAATACATGTTAAAATCATAAGAATCTTATATACTGCATATGTATATGTCACACACACTCCAATTTTTGCTATGCTGCCTTATCTTGGTATGCGGGGTTCTGGGAGGGATGAGTGAAGTGTGCCAGGAGTGCAGCCTAGAGTATTTATTTGTTTGTTTGTTTATTTTTAAATTTGTATGCCACCCATCTCCCCCCAACAGGTGACTCTACAGGGTCCCACAAGGCATGAAGGTCATCTCAGAATGCAGACACTTCAGCTGGGCAGCAGTGATAAAGGACGGTGCTAGAAGTGGATGACTGCTTTAATGACATTGACAAAAGTATCATTTCAGAAGGCAGCAGAAGCAGAAGGCAGCAGAAGCAGAAGGCAGTGGTAAACCACTCCTGTATTTTATCAAGACAACCATACAGATAGACAAGATAAAGTGACTGACGGCATGGTGCTGGATGATGGGCCCCACAAGTCAGATGACACTTGACATGATACTGGGGAAGAGTATCAATAGTATTTATGATGCAGCATGTTTAAAGCCTTTGGGGTGTCTAGTTGCTGATATGACCAACCAGGAAAAAAAATCTGAAGCTACAAAGACAGAATTACTATGGGAACATGGAACATAGGAAGCATGAACATGAGAAAACTCAACCCATCGAAATATGAAATGAATCAACTACACACTGATATCTAAGGCATCAGCAAATTGAAATGAACTAGAATTGGATACTTTCAGAAAACCATGCTGTTTACTACTCAGGCATGAAAAACAAAGAAGGAACAGTGTTGCTTTCATGGTCAGGAAGGATATTACAAAGGTAGTACTTGGGTACAATGTGGTCAGTGACCAAATAATATTAATTAGACTTTGCAGAAAATCCTTTAAAAAGATGATCACCCTAGCTTATACTCCAGCCACTGTTGCAGAAGAGGAGGTTGACAAGTTTAATAGTCAAGTTCAATCTGAAATCAACAGAATGTACAAGTAAGATGTGCTGCTTGTGGTTGGAGACTGGAATGCCGAAGTCAGAAGTAGTATGGAAGAAATTGGACTTGGACTTAATGGTCTGGGCAACAGAAATGGAGATTGAATTATCAGTTTCTGCCAATTCCATTATTTCTTCCTTGCTAACACTGTCTTCAAACCACCAAACTGACACCTGTATCCATGGACATCACCAGATGGAACACACAGAAATCAAATTGACTATATTATTGGTACAAGGAGATGGAAGAGCTCAGTTATAACAGCAAAGACATGGCCAGAGGCTGACTCTGGAACAGATCCCAAACTGCTCATGTGCAAATTCCTAGTCAAACTAAGGCAGAAGAAAGCTGTCCAATTTGCATGATATGATCTTGAGCACATATAGTACCCATCATTTTCAAGGAGAACAATAAGAATCACTTTGAAGTTCTGAACCTCCTTGATAGGGAATTAGAGGAGTGGAATGAAATTCAATAAGTTGTTATGGATGAATGTGAAAAGAGATTGCCAAAGACCAAGAAAAGAAGAAAGCAAACTGGAACAAACAGAAGAAGGCAAAGTGTGAAAATTGCTGAGAAATCAAAACCAAGAAAGCCAAAGATCTTAGGAAGGAATTTAACAACGAATTTCAGACAGCTCTAAGAAGAGATAATAAACAATATTACAACATTTGTAAAGACATTTATGATGCAAACAGAGAAAAACAAGATCTTCTAAAAGATCCAAACTGAGAATGAGATTCCAACTTCAAACTGGTATGTTGAATGGATAGACAGTAGCTGATTCAAAGATCAAACAGAGATGGAAGGAGTATACTAAAATTCGGTAGAGAGGTCAACATCCAAGATACCTTAGAAGATATTTCCTATTTACAAGAGCCTCTTGTACTACAATATGGGGTTAGATTAGCACTCAGGTCCTTACCAAGTTGGAAGATTACAGGAATTGATGGAACTTCTATAGAAATATGGCAGGCAACAGAAGAAGAATCAGTAAAGGTTCTAACCAAACTCTGCCAGCAAATTTGGAGAATGATACAGATGCTAAAAGATTGGAAGAGGTCAGTCTACATACTACTAACAAAGAAAGGAGATTTAACAGAATATGCAAAATATTGCACAATGTCAATTTTATATGTCAGCAAAATAATATTTAGGAATATCCAATGCAGATTAGAGCCCTACATGGAAAGGGAAATGCCAAATGTTCATGCTGACTTTAGAAAAGGCCAAGGAGCATGAGACACTATCGCTGATCCATACTGGATAACTGAGAAAGCCAAAGAATACCAAAATAAGTCAGTATATGCTTTATTGATTACAGAAAGGGCTTTGACTATGTCAATCATGTCAAACTGTGGAATGTGCTTAGAAAAATGGGAATCCCAGAACCTCTCATTGTCAAGAAGCCATAATCTGAATGGAACATGGCAAAACAGACTGGCTCCAGGTTAGCAAAAGAGTGAGACATGGCTGAATACTCTCCCCTTATTTATTCAACCGATATGCAGAATATATACTGAGGCAAGCAGGATTGGAACATGAGTGTGGCTTTAAAACTGGAGGAAGATACATCAATAACCTGTACTAAGCTGATGACATTATTTGATAGCTGAAAATATAAATGATCTGCAAGCTCATTTTGCAATGCAATGCAAGTCAAGAAACACAGTGAAAAAATGGGTCTAGGCTTAAATATAAAGAAGACCAAACTAATGGCAACAGGTACAGCAGGCAGCCTTAGAAATGACAGTGAATTGATAATGAAGTAGTGGATACCTTCTACCTTTCAGGATTGACAATCAACAGTAAAGGAACCAGCAATCAACAAATAAGGCACAGTCTAGCATTTGGGAGAGTAGCAATCTATGGAAAAGATATTCAAATGGTGTAATTATCAAATCCGTGATAATTGCAGGAATCTTCTCCAACACCAGAGTACAAAATCATCAGTACACTTTCTATATTTTACCTCTTCAGAGTCCAAATTTTACCTACAAAGATCAGAATTATGCAGGCAATGGTTTTCCCTGTGATATTTCTAGGGTAGCAAAATTTGGACTCTGAAGAGGTAAAATATAGAAAGTGTACTGATGATTTTGTACTCTGGTGTTGGAGAAGATTCCTGCAATTATCACGGATAGCCAAGAAAACAAACAAATGGAACATTTGACAAATTAACACAGAGTTCTCACTCAAGGGATAAATGACCAGATTGAAATTATCATATTTTGAACACACTGTATAAAGACTCAGCTCCCTTGATAAGTCTATAATGCTGGGAAAGGTGGAAGAAAAGAGATGACCAGCAACAAGGTGGATGGACTCAATTACAGCAGCAATGGGTCCCTTGTTGGAAACTTGATGGGCCAGGTTGATGACAGATCATCCTGAAGAAGGTTTGTCTGTGTGTTTGCTAAGAGTCGATACCAATTTAATGGCACATAATTAATCATATAAAGTTCATGAATAAACGGGTTCATTTCTAAAGAACAAGTCTACATATAATAACCATTTATTCGCTAGAGTAATTTACCTGTGTAGAATTATCCTCTTTTTAGCCCCAATATTGACCTGTTACAGGGGAACAGGTCAAATATGTTTGGCCCATGTTTTGTAGGAAATTCTTTTTTAAAGGCTTAGTGTATCCATGTAGCTCTTTGCAGGAAAAATGCCTTATGACAACTCTGCCAAAAGTCTATTATTTTGCTGTCAAATTTCACCCATGCAATCTTGGAGCTGCAGATTGGGCAAGAAGGGCAATCCTCCCTAACATACTCTCTGGCTGTTCTGGAAGCTTAATCCCTACACATGTCAAAGATGGTAGGTTGGGGAAGGCTGCTTGAAAGTATCCTGGGTCTCAACCTGTCAAAAGATGCCTATCCCATGACTGCTCAAAGTCAGGCACACTCTGATCACCTTGAGATTCTTGACGGGCACAGCAGGATCAGAGAAGAAGCTCTGGCGAAAAGTTATTTCAATGCCAGCCTCTTTGACTCGCTCTTCCAGATCATCCAAAGTCTGTGGGAAGACAGAAGGAGGCATCATAATCATGAAGAAATGAGAAGCTGAACAAAGATTTACTTCAGAAGCTACATTAAGATAGGGGAATATATATTCTGAGTTTGCACATCATACTAACTAAGCCAAACCCAAACAAATCACAGCACAGTTCAGCATGCTGTGTGAATCCAGTCATTCTGGTTTGCAAGCCATGATTTATGGGTTAGTGTGGTGTAGAAACCCAGCCCAGTTATCCCTTATTCAAAAAAATGTGATTATTCAAATAACTGCTTAGCACAATGCATAAAGTCATTGCGTGCATACTCAAGGGTTAAGTTAAAAACCATGAAAATCGCAATATAAAACCTTATAAAATCTCCAGCATTTGTTATCCTGCAGAAAACAGAACGTCAAAATTTCAGTTTCTACGTTCTCAAAAGATACTAGTCCTGTGGCCGTGCAGGAATACTTAGTCAAATATCAGAAGCAGGCCCTTGTTTTGCACTATAGAGCTCCCAGGGTTTCTTTGATTCTTGCTATCATGGTGAACAAATACAAAATAAATTGTTTGAAATATTATTTCACATACTTTGGCCTCTTTTATCAAATTCAACATTCAAGTTAAGCACGTTTTCTGATGCACATACATCTGTCTTTCTGTTCAGGAAAAACAGACACAAAGGGCGTTTTCCTTTTCTACGCTCCTTCCCTGTTGAAGCTCTTTGACCCAATGAGAAGCAATCTATTTTTAAGTAAAGGACTACTTTTCATGAGTAAACAGAACTTTTGCATAGCTGGATGCTACTGATTAAAGGAGGGAAACCAAGGAGGAAGCAAACCGCAGACAGGAAGCAAAATAGAACTGGGGTATATGGAGGAAAAGGTGAGTGCAACTAACTAAGGCTAGCTGGATTCTTGCGTATCTGGCATGAACTCAAGCACGCTTAAGATGGTTACTTTCACAATCGCTGGAATCAGGGGCCTAAGAGCCCCAGTTGGAATTAGGAGAAAGTTTGAGATCAGGGTCCATCAGCTGCTTTCTTTCAAAATATTTTTTCAAAGATGTGAAAAATGTAACCCATACTGTGGTTCTAATTGCGCTGATCTCTGCGTTCCACTGTGTCTCTGGTATAATAACAACAATGATAACAATAACAATACCACCCAACAGTGGGCAAATATCATGAGACACTGCTCGTACCAGTCACATTCTGCATTAATTAGAGCTGTTTTGATCACCCACAATTTCTTAATTTCTCTGATAATGAACCAGGATTAGACAAAGATTCAGAACAAGTTTGGGCAGAAGGAAAATCGCTCAGCCCTGGTGGTGCTAGTGGAAATGTACCACCGTGAGAGATGGAGGCCTGCAGTCTACTTGCCTGTCATGGGTCACATAAAAATAATTCTGGGGTTTCACATTTGCATAAGTGTGATGGACGTTGGAACACAGCTGGTGAAAATATTCCTCTTCTTTCTTGGAGCTATTTGTGTTATTTTTTTTTCCTTGTCTGAAAGTGGAAGCTGTAATTGTTCTTAGGACATCTTTGAGACAAATAGCCCTCAGCTGAGATCTGAGTTGACATTTATTAAAATTCAATAAGGGAAAAAGGACCTGGAAATATATTTTCTGCTAGAGAGAACAGTCTAGAAACATATCAAGAGAATCATTACTTCTTCTCTTGTCATTTCCTCCTTCTTTCCAACCCAACCCAACCCATTCCATCCCCTCTCATCTGTCTAACGTCAGGCCATAAAATTCAATTGAGGAAGAATTACAGTGTCATTCTTGCTATTACACCATATATATGGGGTGCCTTTTTGACTCCGGGCAACTGCCTGGACTAGACCCTGCAGTTTTCTTAGCAAAGTTTTATTTGAAAGTGGTTTGCCATTGCCTCCTTCTTCTTCCTAAGGCTGAGAGAGAGAGACTTGCCCCAAGTCCCCCAGCTGGTTTCGTGGCTATGGCAGGACTAGAACTCACAGACTCCTGGTTTCTAGCCTGATGTCTTAACCACTATGTCAAACTGGCTCTCTGTATTATACCATATAGTCTGTTTAATAAATATAGAATTCTTTCAGCTTTTATATTACAGGTAGGAGCCTCCTGAATGAAGCTTTGCTCAGGATGCTCCTGCCAGCAGAATAGAGAGGGGATAATTTTTGCCATTTCCCCTTCCAACTGCAGGCCACCCCCCACATTTCTGGACAGTCCCAAACTTCCAGAGCAAATTTTCTGGGAGACAGGGGACTCTGTGTGTACGTGTGTGTAATCCTCATTCAGTCAGTATTTCTTTTTGTCCACAGATCATACACTGGATTGAACCCATTTTCAATAATTCCTGTCATGTCAATTTTCAGTAAGTCCCGACATTCTGAAGGAAAACTTTGAGTTTCTAAGGATATTCAAGACTGAGACATACAAGAATTTTAAATGTCCATTTGTGTGTAGGATAAAGAGATGATTGCTAATACTGGAGGACATGTCATGCCATACCCAAAGGCAGATTAGGATTATAATAGTTAGAGAGGTGCCATCAAGTTGAGAGAGGGCATTAAACTTCAGCTGGGTTTTCCTTCAGAGACAATCAAGGAGGAAGACCTTAATCTTAAGCTTACACATTCAAGTCAGGGATAAGGTCTTTGTGCTGGGAGAGACACACACATGGATATTCAGTAGCCTGCTGAAGTTTGAGATTTGCAAGGTTATTTCTGGTAGATAAACTCTATTAGTATACATTAGGAAACTCAAATCTAATGAAAATAATGTATATAAATGGAAGCAATTACCATAGATAACATGAGTTAGGCTGCATTTATACAAATTTGAAATGTTTTAGTATGGATTCAAGTGGTAAATAGTAACAAGTGGGAGTATCAGCTGAGATACAGCAAAATATGAAAAAGAACAAGGCCCAAAACCAGGAGAATAAGAAAGGACTGCTAAGGAAAATCCTTTCTGGTCCATTAGACGGTTCTTCAAGATTCGTTCTTTTCAGATTTCACCAAACACTGCCTGCCCATTTTAAAGTCGTCTTTTGGGACCACAAGGGCTAGGAATGTGAGAAGTTTTTTTGTTTGTATGTTTGGACTTTTGTGAAATAGTATGTGGAGATACTGAGGAAGTTGAGGATTGTATCAGACTGGCTGGGGGTAGATTCTGTTGCTCAAAGAAGGACTTAAAGCAACTCCACAATTAGATGGTAATAAAAGCATGCCCTGAAATAGGAGTGATGTTGCTAATTTTATTGGTGACTAGCAGAATGGCAATTATGACAGAATCAGGGCTTTTATGAAGGGAAGGCTGCTGCCAAGATATTTTAAAGACCATTGCATAAATGTGAAGTATCGTTGTGCATATCCTCTGGCCAACGAGGACTGGCATAATGTCAAGGATGCAACAAAGATTTTGTCTTCACTGCAACTATGTCTCCAGACTATTTTTTAATTTCCTCTATTGAAATTAAGTCATCATTCACTGAGAGGGGAAAATGTAAAGAGGCACTTTCAAGGGCATAATGGCTATCAAGACTAAACCAGCTTCCCCCCACTGTTGATTACAGTACTGGGGGCATGGAGCAGATTTTGTGTAAGAAAAAGGCACAGTCCATTGCCAGAACAAATATTCTGCATAAAGAATGCCTCAGTTTTAATCCCCTGCATCTGTGGTTAAAAGAATCAGGTAGCTGGTGATGGAGTGATCATTTGAAATTCTGGAAAGCAGTTAGAATAAAGTAGTTTTAGAAGAGATTTATGAACACAGGCAGTGTAGTGATTATTAGTCTTGGACTGAGATATACCTTCAAGTCCCCACTCTCTCATGGGGCCAGGCATTCTCCCTTAGCCTAACCTACCTCACAGGGCTGTTGCTGCAGCAATAAAATGAGAGAACCCTATGTACATTATCTTGAGCGGTGATAAGACAAGATGGAATATAACTGCAGTAATTAATCAATGAATTGTACTTGGTTTCTTTGGAAATCAGGCCAGTCCTGAATCTCTGGTAGAAACAATGGGGTTTGTACATACAGTCTGCGAGGACAATTTATTATACTGATGTGATTAGGATGGGAACCAGGAATTACAGTCAGGGTTAGGTTTAAAGGTCAGTGTTCTGGAACCTGCTGGAGGTTACAGAATGGCTGAAAAATTAAACTAGGATCTAAGCTCAGGTTTGGGTTCCATACCGATGTAAACACCTCTGTGGTCTGTTGTATGGTAGCAATCTTAGTCCAGCTCCATTTCTTGAAGAGCTGCACACGGGTGGGATTGTGCAGTGTGGCTGATGGGTGCGTGCGGAAAAAAGTGGGGAAACGCTGGCGGTTGGAAAGGGCTGGCGAGCTGGAGCCATAGGACAACTGAAAAGAAGAAGATGGAAAAACGATTAAAGACAGAAAGGCTGAGACACCCATATATTCCTTAGCCAACTTTGAGATGAAGACTTCCCTTCTGCCCCTTCACACAACCACATAGATATGTGTGCTTAACACCAAAGACATTTGTCCCTGTGGTCCCTTCTAGAGATGCTTCTGTCAAGGTTTTGGAGTCTTCCAACTTATTTTACCTTCCTCCATTCACAGATTCATGGGGAAAGATGGGGTCTATGCTAAGACAATGTTAAGAGAAAGGTACTTTAAAAAGATTCAAAGTCCCTTCCTCTTAACACTGTCTTAAGTGTTAAGAAACACTTTGAAGCATTTTCCTCACGTGTTTCAGGCTGAAAATTTCAACTTGGAAGGTCTGAATTAGTGTTGGCTTCTCCCATAACATCCACATATACAACAATGACAGCTGCTTACCACAATGAGATTCCACATGCGTGCAGCCTCGGCCACCAAGGTGGAAACACTGCTGCAGCCAGGCATAAGGATGATCTTGATGGGGTCATTGTACAGGAGCTCATAGAGAAATTTGGTTGCCACACCAGGTTCACACTGTAGGTGGTGGGGAACAGATAGAGGATAAACCTCAACACCAAGAATCTCACCAACCTGCACAAGGCCCTGCATGGACCTCTTTCAGAATTCAGGTCAAACCCAGGGAACTGTTCCTAATCATTTATTCTCATATCAAATGATAGGCAAGATGCTGTACGTAAAAGGCATCCATGGAGTCTGAGCCCAAACAAGTTGCAAACTAGACGGACTAGAAGAGACATGGAAGATTAACATTTGGACAAAATTAGTAATAGAAAGTTAAATGGCCACGGAAATTCAGGTAGAAGGGGTGGAAAAGTCTTTTGTGATAAAGTGAGGAAAAAGAATGTAATTTGTTAAGTTAGACAGAGAAAAGCGTAGAGCTCCTGGTTTGCCAGTGAACTTGGCAACAGATGGACCACTGTCCTCCTGTGATCCTTGCTCCATAAAAACATTAATATCATGTACTTGCCAACTGCTCTGCCAAGGCCCAGGAATGATGCTACTACTGATAGACCAGAGTTCTTGGATTGCACTGGGGCTGCATGAGGAAGGAAATGGCTTTTCCGAAAAGTCAGCTTACCACAGACACATTACTGCTCCTTATTCCCCTGGCCCCCGAGCAATGAAGGTACTAAATTAGGACAATCTTCACCAAGCTGGGTACCTCCCAGAAACATGAATTTCAAGTCTCAGAATTTCCAACCAGTATATCCACTGCTGAGAATTCTGGGAATTCATGTCTACATGACTGGAAAATGCCTAGGATGAGGAAAACATGGCTAGGAGGCTTCTGAGTAGCGAGGAGTCAGTAATTCATTGGAATTTTGTTTACAAGTTAAAAAAGACGCCAACCCTGGAATATGAACTAGGCTTGAATGGAAGTGGGCAGGACAACCAAAGAGATTTGGTCCCGCCCTTCCTGGATTCAGAAACAACTTCAATCCACTTCTGTGCCAACATGCAGAAAGAAACTTGGGAAAAAGCCAACCCAGAATAGTCATGATGGATGAATTTTCACCATGGAGAAGCAGACCAAAGGTGTTCACCCAATCCACCACTCTTTCCCCTACATTTCCACTACTAAGGCGTAACAGGAGACAACACAGCTAAGCTTCTCGGGCTGATGGTGAGTACAGGTAGAGATAAAATGATGCTGGTGACTATGTGGGCAGGTCCCTGTCACTTTCTGGGCAACAGTTCCTAAATGTTGCACTGCCTTCCTGCACCGCCTTTTTCCAGGCCATTTTCTCAACTTCCAGTGATCTGGGGGCTTTCCGATTAATAGACAATACGGTGTGGAGGCCAAGTTGGCTGATGAACACTTCAGCTCCCTCTAGGGCAGGGTGGGCAACCTGAGAACTAGGGCTGTATGCAGCCCCGAAACTCTTTTTTGTGATTCCTCACAGCCACCTGTGATCACAGCTGCTAAAAAATGGCGGCAGTTTCCTAAAATGTGGAGATGGGAAACACCCAACTGCAGGCAGAGCGTAACCGAAAAGCAAATGAAAAAAAAAAATCCAACTCCTCCACAAAGCTCCGGCCCTGCCCATCCTGCACCGTCACTTCATCCACTGTGCCCTCTGGACAGGCAAAAATGTTGCTGTAAATGTCATCCTGGCCATCCAAAGTTTCTCCATCCTTCAACAGGGTTGAGCATGCAACTAATGCCTACGTACAGCTGTTCCCTAACTCTGCACACTCCACCTGACCTCTGCCCTGCCGTGTCTCTCTCTCTCCGAACAAATGTGTCACCCAGGATCCCCCACTATTTTTTTTCCTACACACACACAAACACATATACACACCATGTGGCCCATCCTGCTCCTGGCTGTGAGCCTCCACCGCAAGGGGATGATGAATTATTCAGGGCATCGCCGCCCCAAGAAAGAGGATCAGTTTCCATGGAAACCTCAGGCAGGCGCTGCCACGGCAACCTGTCAGCACCAGGGAGCGGGCTTCGATAGGGAGGGAACAAAGGGAACGCCATGGGGGGGTTGACTGGGAAGCACAGGAGAGCAGAAGAGGAGGAGGGAGAGAGAAAAAGGAACCGGCAGGGCAGGGAGGGGAGATGTGTGTGGGAGAAGGGACAGACAACCAGACAGACTGATGGGTAGAGCAATGGATGTGAGCAGAGGCTGGCTTCGTAGGGTTGGAGGGAACTAGAGAATGGGAAAAAAGTTTGCAGGAATTCCATGCAAGGGAACGGGGCAGGATGGTGGACAACTGGGCCATATTGCTTTGCGCTCAAGGAAAAGGTGGGAATGGGGATGAAGTTGGGGATGGGATGGAGTAGGGAAGGGCTGATGTATACAGCTGTGGGCAGCTGGGCAAAGGAAAGGGCTACAGGGATCTCCGCATGAGTGTGGAGAGGTCATGCGCGGGGAGGGATTCGCAGGAATGGGCATGTGGCCTGACTCAGGTTGCCAAAATCAGCACAAGCCTTTAAGACAAGCAGTTGCAGCAAATGAGGAAGTCTGCAACATGGGTGTTTTTGGAGATCATGCCCACATACGTGGATCAAGGCCACATCAACAGGTCCAGGGTCAGGCCGGCAATCCACATGCACACCTAGGCCCACTGGCCATGAAAAGATAAATATCTCAGTGAAGCCCCAAGAAAGAACAGAAAGAGTTTGGTTCATTTCCCAGTGTTGGGAAGGAAAACATGGTTTAATTGTGGCAACGTGTGAAATGAAGACCTATACCGTAATGGCCTTTATAGTACTCATGGTGAAAGCCAGGAGTCTGCTCCAGTTAGGGGTGAGAGGCATGGCTTGTTCCCAGTTGGTACTTAGCCTGAAGAGTGCTCCAGAAGGCTTAAACCATGTGGGCAACAGTTTTACAACATCACCCCTGATTTCTCTTCCCATTCATTATTCGTGGCACATTTTGATGCTCAGTGCACAAGAGCTCATCTAATCATCTGAGTTTGATTATCAGGGTAAACATAAAAACAGATGTAGAGATAAAAACAAAAGCACAAAGGATTGAATAAGAACTTAACAGACAAGCTGAGTTGTCCAACATGTACTGGAGAGCAATGAGCGCATATAGAAAGACTCAAGAATGTACAAGTCAGAAATGGTGCATGCAGACATAAATGGACAATGAACACAGCACGTGAGTGTGCAATGAAAGCATACAAAACAATTGGGCATGACCAAAGTTAGGTCCCTGGAAATGCCGTGCTTATCCTCTGCACGGTCTTCTACACAGTCTTTCTTGAGTGAAACACATGAATTAAAAAATGAAAGGTTGGGAAGGGGAGAAGGTGGTTGACAAGATATTTACATTTCAAGAGACAGATCTGGCTTAGGGTATCTTTGCTATCCAACCCTGTTTGCAACTGACTTTGACTGATTTTGGTTCGGACAGGAACTGGTGCTCTGAAGACAGGGAATTTCACACCATCATTGGCTGAAAAGGTGCTGATTGCTCCTCTCTACATTCCTCCTAATGAACTTGCACCAGAATCCATCCATGCCTATAACTCTAGAACAACCCTCTATCAGATCCATAGCTCTTACCCCTGTTTATCCACATGGCTGGTACTCTAGTGGAGATATCCAGCTCATTATAACATCTGTGATGCTACCTCAATCAACCTTTCAGCAGATTGGCATACTGACCTCCCATCTAAGAGCCATACCTAGAAAAAACGTCCTATGAAAACTACCACCAAATTACCAACTGTTGTATATTACCAGGAGGAAACTGCCACGCTGACAACAGGGCCTGCAGTCCTATAAGCTCCATGAAAGTTTTCTTCAAGCTGAGCTTGAGTCCTGGTGTTACAGGTGACCACATGCATGCATTCATGCAGTTTTCTTGGCAGCTGCCCGGACAGGTTTTCCACTGCTCTGGCTGGGATCTTTTTTAAATTTTCCAGTCTAGCCTAAAGCCAAGAATTCCCTGGTGGTCTCTTATCCAAGTACAAATCACTCCCAAGCCTGCTTAGTATTTAAGTCTAGGGCTCCCTAAAATGGACTTCCCAGCCCCCATTCCTTTTAGAGGTCTAATTGTTAATATTTTTCGCTGCTGCTGCTGCTGCTGCTGCTGCTGCTGCTCCTCCTCCTCCTCCTCCTCCTCCTCCTCCTCCTCCTCCTCC